CACCTGTATCACCTGTTCGCCTCTGCTACACCCCGGGACGATAACCCGTCAAGACTGTTCCTTTCCCCCACCTGGCACCCCCCACACCCAGGGGAGGTTTATGCCACCGTATCACCGTTTTGCCTCTGCACACCCAGGTGACTGATAACCCTGTCAAGATGTTACCTTCCCCTACCTGGCTACCTCTGCTACACCCAGGTGAGGTATACTGCCACCTGTATCACTGTTCTGCCTCTGCTACACCCAGGTGACTGATAACCCTGTCAAAACTGTCACCTTCCCCTACCTGGCTACCTCTGCTACACCCAGGTGAGGTATACTGCCACCTGTATCACCTGTTCTGCCTCTGCTACACCCAGGTGACTGATAACCCTGTCAAGACTGTCACCTTCCCCTACCTGGCTACCTCTGCTACACCCAGGTGAGGTATACTGCCACCTGTATCACCTGTTCTGCCTCTGCTACACCCAGGTGACTGATAACCCTGTCAAGACTGTTTACCTTCCCCTACCTGGCTACCTCTGCTACACCCAGGTGAGGTATACTGCCACCTGTATCACCTGTTCTGCCTCTGCTACACCCAGGTGACTGATAACCCTGTCAAGACTGTTACCTTCCCCTACCTGGCTACCTCTGCTACACCCAGGTGAGGTATACTGCCACCTGTATCACCTGTTCATGCCTCTGCTACACCCAGGTGACTGATATCCCTGTCAAAACTGTCACCTTCCTACCTGGCTACCTCTGCTACACCAGGTGAGGTATACTGCCACCTGTATCACCTGTTCTGCCTCTGCTACACCCAGGTGACTGATAACCCTGTCAAGACTGTTACCTTCCCCTACCTGGCTACCTCTGCTACACCCAGGTGAGGTATACTGCCACCTGTATCACCTGTTCTGCCTCTGCTACACCCAGGTGACTGATAACCCTGTCAAGACTGTTACCTTCCCCTACCGGCTACCTCTGCTACACCCAGGTGAGGTATACCTGCCACCTGTACACCTGTTCTGCCTCTGCTACACCCAGGTGACAGTAACCCTGTCAAAACTGTCACCTTCCCCTACCTGGCTACCTCTGCTACACTCAGGTGACTGATAACCCTGTCAAGACTGTCACCTTCCCCTACCTAGCTACCTCTGTTGCACTCAGGTGACTAATAACCCTGTCAAGACTGTCACCTTCCCCTACCTAGCTACCTCTGCTACACCCAGGTGACTAATAACCCTGTCAAACTTTTCACCTTCCCCTACCTAGCTACCTCTGCTACACCCAGGTGACTAATAACCCTGTCAAAACTGTCACCTTCCCCTACCTAGCTAACTCTGCTACACCCAGGTGACTAATAACCTGTCAAAACTGTCACCTTCCCCTACCTAGCTAACTCTGCTACACCCAGGTGACTAATAACCCTGTCAAAACTGTCACCTTCCCCTACCTAGCTACCTCTGCTACACCCAGGTGACTAATAACCCTGTCAAAACTGTCACCTTCCCCTACCTAGCTACCTCTGCTACACCCAGGTGACTAATAACCCTGTCAAAACTGTCACCTTCCCCTACCTAGCTACCTCTGATACACCCAGGTGAAGTACACTGCCAGCTGTGTCACTTGTACACCAGTCTGTAACAGTACACATACTGTACATTACTGTACACATACACGTACATTTATGTTGGTTTTTAATGGGTTAATGGAGGGAAGGGAGAGAGGTAAACCCGTAGGGGGTTGGGCAATACCCTGGGTAATGGGTGGAAGTCATGGGTGATTAAGAAAATGGGGTAAATAGGTACCTGCCTTATTAATTCTTAGATCATGGCCCCCATTAATGTTCTCATTGCACTAAGGTACTGTATTGTTCCTCAGAGAGTGTCATTGTGAGGTACCTACGTGCCCTGAGGTACCTACGTACGTTGATGGGGCTCCTAAATACACTGATGGGGTTCCTATGTACACTGAGGCACCTATGTACCTTAATGAGGCTGCTACGTACTCTAATGGGGTTCCTACGTACACCGATGGGACTCCTATTTATCCTAAGGCACCTACTTACCCTGATGATATATATACGTACCCAGAGGCATCTACGTATCCTGCTGCACCTGCGTACCCTGAGACATCTACGTATCCTGATGCACCTACGTACCATAATGGGACACCTACCTGCTTCCTCACCTGCTGCACCTGGACGCAGGATTCGGGATACGAACCTACCTATCCTAACCTATCAATGGTGTTCCTACGTAGGAACGCCCTGGTACCTAATGACCTCACCTTTTATCATCATGCTGACTACCTGGCAATAGGTGAGTTCTAGTACCTATTTTCCCCTGATAATTAGGAGGCTTCAGGAAGCTAGGTGACTGTACATCCTCACCCATCCTTCAGAGAGCAGGCTCTGTACTTCCCATAAGATTTGCAGTAGTGTGTACAATCATTTACAGATTTCTGAATCTCAAATCTGTGCTTAAATCACTTAATTAGCGAGGTTAACCTACCTGTGTGTACCTGTGTGTACCTGCAGTGTTACCTGGACCAGCTGAAGAAGTGAGCTTAGAGGTGGTAAATGAGACAAGAATGGTGAAGGTGAGCTGGGGAACACCACCAGCTCTCTGGAAGTTCCCTGCCAGCATCACTCATCTCCTGGAGTACAAGAGGCAGCATCAGGATACCTGGACCATGGTACGTGTGTTATTAATACTACACCACTGTTATTAAGACTACTACACCAGGGTTATTAAGACTACTACACCAGGGTTATTAAGACTACTACACCAGGGTTATTAAGACTACTACACCAGGGTTATTAAGACTACTACACCAGGGTTATTAAGACTACTACACCAGGGTTATTAAGACTACTACCCTGGGTTATTAAGACTAACTAACCAGGGTATTAAGACTACTAACACCAGGGTTATTTATGACTACTACACCAGGGTTATTAAGACTACTACACCAGGGTTATTAAGACTACTACACCAGGGTTATTAAGACTACTACACCAGGGTTATTAAGACTACTACACCAGGGTTATTAAGACTACTACACCTGGGTCATTAAGACTACTACACCAGGGTTATTAAGACTACTACACCTGGGTTATTAAGACTACTACACCAGGGTTATTAAGACTACTACACCAGGGTTATTAAGACTACTACACCAGGGTTATTAGACTACTACACCAGGGTATTAAGACTACTACACCAGGGTTATTAAGACTACTACACCAGGGTTATTAAGAACTACTACCAGGGTTATTAAGACTACTACAAACAGGGTTATTAAGACAAATACAACAGGGTCATTAAGACTACTACAACAGGGTCATTAAAAAACTAATACACCTGGGTTATTAGACTAAATAACACCTGGTATTAAGACTACTACCCTGGGTTATTAAGACTACTACACCAGGGTTATTAAGACTACTACACTGGGTTATTAAGACTACTACACCCGGGTTATTTAAGACTACTACAACAAAGGGTTATTAAGACTACTACACCCGGGCTATTAAGACTACTACACCAGGGGTTTTTAAGACTACTTCACCAGGGTTATTAAGACTACTACACCAGGGTTATTAAGACTACTACACCAGGGTTATTAAGACTACTACACCAGGGTTATTAAGACTACTACACCAGGGTTATTAAGACTACTACACCAGGGTTATTAAGACTACTACACCAGGGGGGATTAAGACTAAATACACCAGGGTTATTAAGACTACTACACCAGGTTATTAAGACTACTACACCTGGGTTATTAAGACTACACACCAGGCTTATTAAGAACTACTACACCAGGGTTATTTTAAAACTACTAACCAGGGTTTATTAAGACTACTACACCAAGGGTTATTAAGACTACTACACCTGGGTTATTAAGACTACTACACCAGGGTTTTAAGACACTACACCCGGGGTTTTTAAGACACACACCAGGGTTATTAAGACTACTACCCTGGGTTTTTTAAACACACACCTGGTTATTAAGACTACTACCCGGGTTATTAAGAACACACCCGGATTATTAAGACTACTCACCAGGGGTTTTAAAAAATTT